TGTACAAATAATAACGGAAAGAAAAGCGGAAGGAAAAAGCCATTAGGGCCAAGTATTAGTGATATAACTTTTCTTCCTCATATAAGGTACATATCAGTATGTCAGTTCCCCAAGCAGTCAATAAATGCAAACAAGGGGGAAATAAAGAGGATATTACGTTTAAAATAATAAAAAACACGTCGAAATGTTAGGGTTTCGCCTGTCATGGAAAAGTAATGCGTAGTTTCTTCTTTTTGGCACTCTATATTTCAAATTTCACTGTAAGGTCGCTTTATTGTCTGACTAAACACAGAATTGTCTACTTTCTTACTAAATACTCACTTAATTTCTTGATGCCTGCTTGGTTTTATACCTTAATGTTCACTTTTTGCTTAACCTCAAATGTCTCCGATGTTTGCTTTTATTTCCATAACAAAGCAGTTGGCGGATACAGTGAGCTATGTTAAAAAATGGTACGTGTTTATTGAAAAGAAACAAGCATCATACTGTACAAAATATGAATAATATAGATATTCTCAGGAGACGATCGTTATGTATTTTCATCTTTAAGAGTCAAGTCTTATTATAATCTACGAAGGTTTGAAAAATGCAGGTTAATGGTTATTGAGTTAAAGTAAAGTATAAAAATCATTTCAATAGTAACGGCTTTCTTAGACTGCACTGATACTCCTCCGAACCGAAATAGCCATCCTATGAATTCTGTAATATGATAAACACAGAAAATGTTTAACTGCCATAGTTTCTTAAACAACTGTCTACATAAAGTTGTAGTAACCTACTTTTATCAAGACAACGCGTTTGGTGTAAGAGAAACAACTGTTATTATAACTAATTGTACCAGAGGTTGTTTTACCGTACTTGTTTGTCTACTTGTACCAAAGTATATACATTCTTCCGTTGATTGTGATGCCATAAAAATACTCTTGCTTTGAGAAGTCATAAATTTTAGCAAGTTGTTTCTAGTTGACGGATGAAGACAAGTACCGAAATATTAAGAGACCTAAAGGCCATAAAAACTTCGTTCTTCGTAGGCACCCGTAAAACCTGGACTTTTGAAGTGATCTTCTAGGAGTACCGTGTAATGTGAATAGGAAGGCAACTTCAAGGGTTATGACGTGTAACAAAATATAGCGCATGAAAGTTTTAAGATTATAACATGGCTATTTGCAAAAGGAACAAACAGTCAAATGAATTTCACTCAATCACAACTTTGTCCCTTATATTTTCTTGCTGAAGATATGCAATCAACGTTATCACTTCATCTTCAGATGACAAGGGGATCCGAAAACTTAACAGTCAAACATCAAAGGTCCTTGGATTGGTTGTATACTAGCAACTTATATTATGTTCAAGAACACTTCAAAGCAGAATTGCTGCAACCTGCATTTATTAAACAACTGCCAGACATCCATGTTCATCAACGTTCTCAAGGGTGGTGAATCAAGTGTTAAAGGTTTTTAGAGTTCATTTTTGTCTAAACATTCTAACTGCGGTGTATCTCCGACTTGATAGAAAGTAAATTTCACTTGCTTGAGTTTACAAATAAACACATTAATCTGACTTAACATTCACCCAGGTGATAAATAACAACTGTGTTAAACTACTAATTTACTGGGATAAAAGCTATATAGGGAGCACAAACGAAAATCGAAGTGTGCCGATTAAAGTGCTGCTAATAGCTGATAAATAACGACATCCGAACTATTTGATAACATGTGACATGTACGCGAGAACCCATAGCTTGACAGTTTTACCTTCCCATGACACTGTTTTCTGATTTATATGAAGTGAATATAGAGCTAGGCGATTGAACCATCAAACCCTGAGATCACATAAACACCAAAAAGAGTTTAATGAGCCGCAGATCTTTTTGATCACTTGTAGGTGTCCTTAGGATGTTAAAACATCATTGTGGATCTATAGAAACAACTGACTGATCTCAATCAAAATAGTTACCTTAGATATAAACTTTAGATGGACCTAAGACATATGTTTTGATTCTTAACAACGTTCTTATGTAGAAATTTACTTCATTTATCATGATCAACGTTTCTTATCTACAACCTTTTAAATAGCCGCTTAAGTTTTTACTCATAATGAGTTACCATAGTCGATTTTACTTTTTAAGGTCGTACTTTGACACAGAATTGCGCCTCTAAAAACATTGGGGAGAAAAGTAGGAATGATAAGGAAGGACTTCAATAAACGAGGAACTCGGAACGGCCGTCTGCTTAGCGAAGAGAACCTATTAGTGATTACTGCATTGCATGCTCTTTACTAGACAGGGTCAGTGAATCATCATTCTCTCAAATATGTGGGACAACTGCCATCATGCCATAAAAGTGTTCATGTTAAACAATGATTCATGTTAATTCATTCATGCCTCTGGATTCTGTACGTATTCCCAGAGCTTAGGGGAAATCCACCAACAAGGCCAATGAGACCAAAATCCTGATCTTGACGTACACTGAAGACACTCTCGCTAGTCACCAGATAAAGCTACATTGGAACAGACCGAAATGTGGTCACAAAGTCTTTTGTTTAATTGGGGTATATTGGCATGTTCACTTGAAAATCACAGACCATTCCATACAAATCCATCTCAGATAGTGAGAATGATCCAAATAGCACCAAATGTGTGAAAGTTCAATTTCATTAAAAATAGCCACCTTAATGAATATGAACCCTTAATTAAAATATGACAGATAAATCCGCTGATGTTTCGGAGGTCAGAGACCCCATAATCCGTGAACACTGAGGATCACAGGACAAACCACGATCTGTAAGAGCCTCAAAAACATAAACAAGCATCAACTAATCATTCAGTACAGTGTATCGTTGGGTACCTAGGGTAACATGTGGCTCTGTAGTGGCATTGGACCATAACCATACAATCCTGAAAGCTGAACACTAGACTACTCAGAAAATAGATGATCAATATCTAACGACAGAAAAGGCGGGAAGAATGTATTGAATTAACTGGAGGTGATCGAATGGCATGGCTTGTCCATGCAGGCGTGGTCCATCTGAATGTTGCCTTATATCTTTTATTCATATTAAATATATTGTTCCTTCTCTAGCCTAAGCTTGTTCTCCATCATGTATTGGTAATTGTTACGATACAGTGAGTTGGTGTAGTCGATGGTGTGACTTCCACGTAAGATCTTATAGGTTAGGCAGTTATATCATGACAAATCTACAAGTTTAGGATTAGGTCAATTAATAGAACAGTACTAACACCATAGTAGACCATAATTCTACAGCTCTTCGAGAGAGGTTCATGAGAATGACACACAGCAGTGGTGATAGTAACCATGCTACCAGAGAGTGCGCATAAGCCCTCACTTTGCCCGTCTGTCGTCTCCCACGATGATCAAGTACTATTTCAAGAGCCATAGACCTCAGAAACTAGGAGGACCGAAATGAATTTCTGCAGGCTTGGAACAATTGCAAGAATGAACTACACAATATTCTTGACATAAGATCCTATAAATCGCACCGCGTGATGCAGCAAACAGTTATTTTGCTGTACCTTAACATAAGAATGCTTTGAGGCAAAAATGGAGGAATCAGGAACACGTGTTTCCAGTTTGAAATGATGGACAAAGTTCTTATTGCGACCTGATTCCTTTCTGAAACGACAGACGACGTAGTAAGCATGGAATCTATGACACTCTTTAAGCATGACAGAGAACAAAATGTTGGAGGCAAAGTGGCCATACAACTCGTAACTTCAAAGCCAGTACATAGACTAATACTGGGAAGACCGGATTACGATTGTGCAGCTGGTTCTGCACTAGCTGGAACAGTACTAATTATTTGGTCATGAGAATTTATCGTCCTTCCACAAACGTAACAGAACAAAGACCAGATAACTCATACCTCATCAAAATGAGCTCACTTGGTAGTCAGTTTTAAACTCATAACAAGGAGCCTTATTACTCTCACTGGACTGTGTGGCACCCGATTTTGAGTGGGCAAACATTTAATAGTCACAACTAAAAGCGACGTAGTATTAGAGAACAAAGATGATGCAGTAAAAGCTGGGTGAATAGGCAGCAGTTTAGACCAGCTCGCTACTATCAAATGACTGGCTTAAAGTCCGGAATGTACAGATGCAAGTCTTCGAAATATCTGGCGAGTGATATAATGAACTTGTGCTCTCTGTAATCGCTCTGATTAAGAAGTAGTCCGTTTTTGATTGTTTCCATTTTCATTCTCCATTCTTTCCATGACTGAATCAGTGGATAGCTCTCAGAGAACACTTGACAAGAAAAGTTTCACACATTGACTACAATCTTTCGCTTCTTGTAGTTATGCCGGATGCGTTTCGTAACTTATTCAGTCATCATTATCAAATATTTTTTACCGACTGCTATCCCTTTTATTATATCATATCCGCTTCCAATTTTATTCTTGCAATTCAGTCCCCTCACATTATCTGCATCACTAATCAATTGATCTTTTTATTCGTTAGGTTCCTGAAATAATCATTCCTTTTTTTTTCATTTATCATTTCATTATTTTTCACATTACAAACAACCGCCCCCCTTCCTGGTCGTAATGGCTGCTGTTAGCCAGAAAACCTACTGCTACAAGACAAAAGCACCCACCTGAATTACAAGATATAATAACTTACATTGACTGCCATACTGACTAGAATTAATGTAGCTGAGTGGCTAGAATCTCACTCATTGGACACTAACTGGGACATGGGGCCGTAATAAAACAATAAAAGCTGAGCCCGAAGAAATCGAATCAACATGTTTTAGAGGGCTATTCTATCTGATTTTAGCTTCAATTGCAAGATCGTCTTGGTCCACGGCCTGTGTTGTTGTCATTTTTCATCCATTTGTTTCCATATTAAATGTAATTTGATTGTGAGCGCCTGCAGGACCGTCAACTCACCTTTTCTTCTAATCTTCTATATTTAACACTTTCTCACTCAATCGATTCTCCATTCATCTTTGGGACAATGAGTACTCTCTGGCTAAACACGAATGCATACAAGCTCTTTGAAAGAATATTGTTTATTAGAAGCTCTGAGATTGTACATTGAAAAAGGCGCGGCTTGCGTAATGTGCGTTACACCGCGTGTTTTTTCTCGTTCTGTGGTTAATTCAAGGTAAGACAAACGTTAATTGTATATCTTCATATACCTTTTATGCTTGGGACTTTATTCGTCACTGATTTTTGCGTTACAGAGAGCTTTTGAAACATAGTGTAGAAAAATCACAATTTTCCATCTGCTAGCAGGGTTTTCAGGAGTATTGAAGCTGTAAGAATGATAAAGATTCCCTTAACATAGAATGTTTTTTTATGTACAGGGTATCTAGGCGAAGTGATCCGGTCGAGACCATCGTGTTCACGTTAACTGTAGTCGTACAACGCTTTTATGGCGTTCAGTCATTTGGGTTTGATTAAAGAGTTGTGTTCAGTATGTCAGCATATGAATTGGGATTCTCCTACGAAAATACAACTGAAATCGATTCCTTTCGCTCTTGAAGGTAAGTAATGTTCGATAGACTTTCCATCGTTAAAAATCACATTAGTCTAATGCAAGTTTTCGTTTTTATCACATTTCACTGTTTACAGATAATATTCTAAGCGGCTGTTTGTTTAAGTAACACAACGCTTCGACTTTTGGTTTAGGAATCAGGTTTTTTTGTATAGTTTACCGATTAACTGCAGGGCATACCAAAGTTTTTGAGTATATGGCTTTTCTGAAGATTGCAAATGATTTAGTTGCTAAAGCTTTTCCATTGTAGAAAAGATTCATTTTTCACACCGTGATGCCGTCGAAAATTGCTTATTCATTTACAGCCTTCAAGATTATTTGCGTGCATACTACCAGATTTCATTTTATCACGTCTACTAGGTTGAAGTCATTGAATTGGATTTGTTTTTTGTGCAGGAATTTTCGGATAAGCTTTCGAGTAAGATGAAGCATTTATTTACAGAATATCAAAGTAAGTTTCAGCGCTGGATGCCGTTATCTTAGAGGATTGTTCGCGTTGCGGTTAAAGTATTCGTATTTCAACCTTCAGTTTGAACAGCTTGTGGTGGACCAAACAATATATGAACTCAAAAATAATAACAGAGTTATTGAGTACAACCAGTAATGGTAATGTATATCAGGTAAAGGTTATAAACACAATAACAATTAGGGACGTTACTTAATTCAGCAGGTTTGCGCGTGTTCAGGTTGACTTTGGTACCAGAGTACACAATTATAGATGATTGATGGTTCCAGTAAGATTGTTGTCTTCCCAGTGACATAACCAAACGTAGAATATCATATAATTTGGCTGTAGTCTATAAATGTGAACAGTAGGTGATTTAGAGTTCCGTTATCACATTCACAAACAGTGGAGAACACTAGGTGTGTGTATTGTAGTGTATTTGTTAGTAGATAACAGCGTGTCATGCTACAAGTGTAATACGACGGAAGAAAGTGTGTTCAAGATCATGCATTTAAACAACACGTACAATCGTTTAATGGTAGGTGTACAGGCTGTGAAAAATTAACAAAATAAATACAAATAATATAAACTATTTACAAAAATAAGTTTGTCATGCATATCTCCACATAGCTCCCCCGGAGGTAACACTGGTTATAACAAAAAAGTGTAAGAATATAGTATATACATATATGTAAAATAATTTTTACGATAATAACCAAAAAAACGTGGAGATTGGTGTGACATGCTCATAAGTATTATACAATGTGTTAGTGTACAAGGTAGCATGAATGTAGCATAGCACCACAAAAAGAAATGAAAATACGGTCATTCACTGTCTTGGTTTGTTAATAATAATAATAATAACGTGCAAAATTGTTAATAAACCCACAAAAAATTCGATTGTTTATTAGTGTGACGAAATTTTTTTTTTTTAAATATGACAAAACGGGTGATTGTGGAAAAATGTGATTAATTATATTCACGTGTAAAAAATAGATTTTATTGGGAAATTGAGTGAATTTAGCAGTGTGATATATACCAATGATGGTTTGTTTTTATTTATTTATTTTCGTTTTATTCAGCAAAATGTACATAACTCTTGGGTTTCTTTCACTTCTGCCTGAACGTGCTAAGCAAGTAGGCTTAATGCTCGATTTTTCATCCTCATCTGCTCTCGTAGTGATTAGTGAGGGATTGTTTATCTACAGTGTTATCTTCTTTGTCTTATTGAACTTCGTAGAAGGCTAGCTTTATTCTATCTATAGAGATAGTCTCCTTCTTTCCACCCTTGTTGATGATGAAGTGTTTATTTGTTCTTTTAATTAATTGATATGGTCCGTCGTAAGGTTGTTTCAATGGTTTTTTTAACAGCATCGACTCGAACGAAGGCAAGTTTACACGTTTCTAGGCTTTTGTCAAGTTGTATTCGATTATTATGTTCTCGCATCGGTATTGCTTTGATACTTTGAATTGTTTGTAGTAGTCGACCAACAAAACGACTTGGATCAGTTGACACTGATGCGTCTGGATATACTAATTGACCTGGTAGTGTAAGAGTTGTGCTATAAACTAGTTCAGCAGCTGTGCAACCTATATCATTGATGGTTGAATGAATTCATAGGAGTACGAGTGGTAATGCGTCACTCCACTTTGACGTATCAGCCTGTGCCATCAGAGAGCTTTTTAATTGGCGGTGAAACCTCTCAACCAGATCAATAACTACTGGATGATAGGCTGTTGTTTTGACGTGGTTCACACCCAGAAGTTCTGTAAAATCCCGAAATATGATAAATTGGAACTGGGGACCACGGTCTGTAGTGACGATTGAAGGTACTCTGCAATTTGATATCCACCGGTCAAAAAATACTGATGCAACTATCTTTGCAGACGTATCTGAGATAGGACATGGTACCGCCCATTTTATGAACCTATCTACCGCTGTAAGAATGTGCATGAAGGAGTTTGATGGTAGTAGGGGACCGACTATGTCTAAATGAATATGTTGAAGCGTTTATAAGGCAATGGGAACTTCCCAACAGGACTAATCGTGCGTTTTGAATTTTGCTGCGTTGACATCGTATGCAGCTTTGAGTCCACCGTTTTACCTCCGAGTTGATTTTTGGCTAAACGAAGCGTTCTGTTATAAGTTTTGTGGTGGCTCGAATTACAGGATGTGAAAGCTCGTGTAATTGTTGAAATATCTGTCGTTGACAAGCTTTTGGTACAAATTGGCGGTTACTGCCGGTTGAAGCGTCACAAATAATAGTTGCGTTGAGAAGGGAATAGGTACGGGTTCTAGAATCAAGTTAGACTTTTCTTTGCAGCTTTTCAGGTCTGCGTCGTCCATTTGTAGTTTTGCTATGGTTTCAAGATCAATGTCTTGTTTGTGTATCAGCATATTGATATCCTTTCGTGATAAAGCATCGGCTACGACGTTACAGTGTCCCTTGGCATGCTAGATATCTGTTGCAATTTTATTTTAACACATAGATATTGGTACAAGGAGGCACCGAATACTATGCGTCACACAGATCTCATTTGATATGTGTGAGGGCTGTGATACTGTCCGGGTGCCCAAACCGAAGCAGGTGGTTTTCTTAGGGGGCCACAACCTGAGCCTTTGATCTGAAGATCTGATCCACAAAGCAGTGGAGCAATGTGAGGAGATGCAGTCACATGGTAGCCGATGACCAACCATTGGTTCATACGCCATTTGTTCCTTCAGGATCCTGGAGCCCATGTTCACGATTAGTTTGGAACCAGGGTTTTCCAACTAACCTAAGTGGACCCTTCGTGTCCACCAACCCGAATAAATCGCTGAACATTCGCTTTTCGTCCTCTCGATTTCGTAAACAACAGTAATGCCACGAGAAGGCAATGAGTAGAACTTCCCTGGCAGATGCTATATACGCGTGACCATGTGAGAGGATTTCGAGAGGGAGGACGGACTCTCCCCACTCTCGACCGTACCAGGGCATTTGGGGGCATCTATTGTAAACTGAGAGATGTAATCCAGTTATCGTGCTTTCCGTGGCGAATGTCGGTCGTAAGACGTGTTAAATGAATGATATAGACGTTTATGATCAGCCATGATAGTGAATGCACGTCTTTCTAACAAAAAGTCAGTGTTTGACTGCTAAATAAATAGCGAGTAACTCCCGTCCGAAGGTACTATAACGTTCTTGGGTTGGTGACAGTCGTTTGGAAAAAAAAACGCTATGGGAGTAACGACGTTGTTTACTCGCTGTTATAATACTGCCCCAACGGCGTTTAAACGCGCCCGTGCATCAAATCAGGTGGGTTGTTGGGTCAGTATTTAGATGCTGTAACATAGTGGCATTGGTAATCATAGACTTTGCTTTTTCGAATGCCGTTTTAGCATCAAAGGGTAGCTCGAATATGTCGTCCTTTTTTTTCTTCGTTACTTTTTTTTATCTATTTTTAGCAAGTCTGTTAAAGTTTGTAATACGTCTGCGCAATTTGGTAGGAATCGTCGATAAAAGTTACACGTTCCAAGGAAACGGCGTATTGGAGTTGGTTCAGGATAGTTGATGATAGCTTCAATTTTCTCTTGAAGTGGTTTAATGTCTTGAGAGTCGGTGTAGTGTCCTAGAAACTCTAAGGCTGAGACGCCGAATATACACTTAGGAGGATTAATTATAACACCATGCCTTTTAAAACGGTCGAAAAGGATCTGTAAATGCTGAACAAGCTCTTCGATTGATGAGCTAGCAATCAAAACGTCGCCGATATAGGTAAATACAAAGTCTAAACATCTGGTGACCTCGTCCATAAATCATCGAAACGTGTGAGCGGCATAAGAATGGCATTCTTAAGAACTCAAACAAACCAAAAGGTGTAATAATGGCTGTTTTTTCGATATATTTTGGTGCCATCGGAATTTGGTGGTATGCTCGTACGAGATCAAGTTTCGAAAAGAAACGCTTTCCATGTAGGTTTAATAGGAAATAGTGTAGGTGTGGAATCGGGTATCTATCTGGAACGGTTTGGTTATTTAGACATCGGTAGTCTCCACATGGGCGCCAGTCTTGATTTTTTTTTGGGAACCATGTGCAATGGCGAAGCCCATAGGCTGTAAGATTGTCTGATGATTGCAAGTTGCATCATATTCTCAAATTCTCTTTTAGCAGTTTGTAACTTGTGTGGAGGTAATCTCCTCGCCTTGGCACAAATGGGTGGGACGATAGTGGTAATGTGGTGTCGCACATGATGTACGGTGCATTCCTTTTGGTAATCTACTTCAGTGATGCATTCGTATTTCGTCAGGATATCGGTAAAAAGATTGTTCACAGGTTTTATTATCCGTACACCATGAATTTCATAGTCGGTAGTAAGTGTACCATTCACCTGCAAACGTGTGTATTCTTGTCAATCAACTTTCTTTTGTTCATATCTACTAATAAGCTGTAGGCACTGAGAACATCGACCCCGAGAATGGGTTGCTTGACTTGGGCAACTATGAAAATCCACGTGAATCTTCTCCGGAGTCCAAGGTGTAAAATAAGGGGTTGTTCTTTATAACTTTTAATGACCATGTGTTTAGCCGCAATAAGTGACAATTCGGTACTTGTGGTGTGCCGTCGTCGTGAGAAGAGAAGTGGGACATTGTTGATTTCTGCCCCTGTATCGGCTAAAATTTCTGAGCCAGAAATACGATTCCGGATGTGAAAAAGGCGGCTAGCGTGGTGGCCAGTAACAGACGCCGCCATTATTGTCTGGCCGGCCCATTTCCCTGCGTCTCCTGCTTGTTTGATGTGAAGGTGCGCGGTTGTGTGCAGCGACGTGCTTTTGCGCCATACTTCAGATGATACCAACAGATTCCAGCTGCCCGCTTAGGTGACCTAGGGCGCTGTCTGGAGACTGCTCTTCTTCTAGACGTGGATCTAGCTGGTCGGGAATGGATCGTTGCGATAGTGGCCTGCAATGATGCGTTATCAACTGTGTTAACTGTTGCTAGGATGTTAATTACTGGTACTCGTATTTCTTTACACAGTGACTATCAGGGTAAATTTCCATCATTTTGTCCGCCATATCTGCTAGATATTCTAGATTGACGGAATTTCCAGACACGCTAAGGATCTGCCTCACGTTATGTGGTAATCGTTGAAACCCATTTGCTTAATCAAGGATTTCGTCTAATGTATACGAACCTGCTAGTTGCTTCATATGTCGTAACAATTGCGATGGTCTCTTGTCTCCTAGTTCGCATGATGTTGACAGTTGCTGTAGTCTTTTTTGTCAGAGACTGATGTACGTTGTAATACTGTGGCTTTGATTTTGTCGCAACGTTCGGTCTCTGGTACCTGGTCGATTAAATCTCCGACTTCGGTAACGATTTCAATAGGAAGTGCACCGACTATGTTTGCATATTTGGTTGCCTGGGAGCCTATACCTCCAGGTATGAATAAGGCTTCTATTTGGGCAAACCAAATCCTCGGGTTGTCAGCTCCGTATGCAGGTAGTCTGAATTGAGAAATAAGTTTTAAGTTCAGTTAACGCCATTGATAGTCTCACTAGCACACGCAGGAAAATGTGACTCATAGCTGAGGATTATTTCTGACATTTTTTCTCAAGCCCCCTAATTTCTCCTACGCGTACATCGTTAATTATATCCAACATAAATACTGACGTTTGTTTGGTACACCGATCAAGAAACATATTGTGACAAGACTGATTTGTATCTTTTGTATGCTCTTAAATATCTAACAAGGTAAGCGCTTACTAACTAAACTTCCTGAAAACGTTATAATAAGCTTACCTATCGTGAGTGAGTAAACGAATTCACTTTTAACTCCACCGTTCAATTTCCTTATCAACCAATGGATTTCACTTTAATATTTCCAGGAAAAGATATTGTTGGGATTGCTGAAACGGGATCTGGTAAAACAGGAGCTTTCCTTCTACCCATAATTCAAGTAAGTAAAATATTTTGCCCGTAAGTATGTAATAATCGCAATACTAACACATACAACTGCATATTAATATGTCTCTTTGTAATAATTAATTGTTTAATTGATTATTCTATGCCCCTCTCAGTCCATCCATCGGAATCTGTAACCTTCAGTCAGTAGAGCATGAGACTCTTAATCTCAGGATTATGGGTTCAAGCCCCACGTCTGATATCGTCCGGTGAGGTAGTTCATCGTATCTGCTAGTTGCCGGCCTTAACTCCGCCTGCAGCTCGTGCAGGGTTTCTGCCGGTCCCAAGCCCGGGTGAAGGAGGAGTGTTGAGCATGGGGTCAGCAACTCCATCCCGTAGAAAATAACCTTGCAAAACAGCACCAATCAGATTAAACAAATTCAACCATTTAAACTCTGCTCTGACAGTTGAGGGAAGAATTATGACGCCTCAGGATGAAAGACGGGATTCTTTAAAAGTCAGCGAGGCCGATACCCCTTCTAACAACCGGAGCAACAATTTTTATAGGTATACTGGAACGTCCTGGACAATCTGGGAGGCCGGGATGACCAGTCAAATAGCACGGAAATGAGGAGATACAACTTGACATTACTCAGAATTAGCGAAACCAATTGAACCCAAGCTGAATAGCAACGGCTAGATTCGAGAGAGATGTTGCTGTACTTCGGTCATACGGAAGTAACTGGTCGTATCATTTTAAAATCTCTATAATCTTAAAATTCCTAAGAATGAAGCTGTAAAAACAACAGGTAAATAAATTAATGCCATTAAACTACTGAAGATCACTGAGAAGTCTCACTAAGCTATCTCAGTTTACGACTGGCCCTACGTGGACCGAATAATAAGGTCCAAATCTCGAAGTGTTATAAATACAACATGATATTCTTCATTATTAACTAACTTAACCTGTTAAAACCACTAACAACAGGGATATATTAAACATTTATCTACTCTTCTTTCCGGGTATCATGCTTGGGAGCTAGAAAGATAATAATCCAGTCGCCAATTTGAAATCTAGGCGTTCACATCGGTATCCCAACTAAGGTTATTGCTTCATTGTTGAATTTGTTAAATACACAGTCTCACTCCTATTAATAATTCAAAAAAGATCATCTTTAATATAATTATGTAGTACATAGTTGTTAGCGAGTAAACTGGTTTTGTGGATAGTTTGAACAATTTGAAAATCCTTTTCATTTCAGTTTGTAATGGATATCATGTTCGAATCGCATAGACCATCTGAATAATTAATTTTTTTTGTTCTGTTTCGTTGAAATAATTCTCTCTTTTTTAATTACCTTTTCATTTATTTATTGTTGAGTAGTTTTTAAGGTTTCTTCAACTGTTTGACTAAATGAGCCGCCAAACTCCCTGGTACGGCCGAGAGTGGGGAGAGTCAACTCTTCCTCTCGAAATGCTCTGACATGGCCACGTGCATACAATCACTGAAAGGGAAGTCCTACTCAATACCTCACGAACGGATTGTTGTTTACGAAATTGAGAGCACGAAAAGCGAATGTCCGGCTCTTTAACCGGGTTGGTGAACTGAGAGCCACTTAGGGCAGTTGGAAAACCCTGATTACAAACCAATAGTACACATGGGCTCCAGTATCCTGAAGGAACAAATGGTGCATGAACCAACTATTGGTCACCGGCTACCATGGGAGTACATCTCTTGACATTGCTCCACTGTCTTGTGGATTAGACCTTTAGGTCGACGGCTTCGGTTTGGCCACCGGGTAGTATCCTAGCCCTCACACAAGTCGAATGATTTATGTGACGCATATCTATTTGGTACCTCCTTGTATCAATGTTTATGTGTTTAAATAAATACATTTATTTTGACTAAATGCAACACCAAACTGTGATTGATATCCAATCATACGATGTGTTCGACTAGTTATGACACTAAATGATCAAGATATGACTCTTAGTGAACTTATCGTAGAATACACAAGACTAACCAGTAGAATAAAATGCTTCTAAGTAAATATATTCGCTTACGTACACAATATTCAATATAAACATAAATACGATTAGGAGTTATTTGCAACATGTCTATTGGAGGAATGCAAATTTTGTAGATATCTCACACATGTGCCTCTGAGAGTCACAATTTGTATCAGTTTAATATAACATTACTAAAATAATGTTATTTCTTTTCGTTTGTTTTGTTTTGATTCATAACTCATTTGTGTATAGCATTGGATTAAATGTGGTCAACCAGTTGGTTTTGCATTAATTTTGGCTCCTACTCGTGAATTGGCTCAACAATTAGCCAATGAGGCTGAACGTTTAGGACAAGTGCAAAACAGATGAGTTAGAATTTCATTTAGAAGTAATTCTTCTTGTCGGTGGTGAAGATATGGTAGATCAAGCGTTAAAACTTGCATGGAGAAAACATCATTTCATTGTGGGTAAATGAACTTATATTTTGTTGAGTTGAAGTATATATTTTTCTCATACGTGTTCAACATTCTTAATGTGAATTGTGATAGGCTGTATGCTAAGCTACATCCTTATGATTATGTACATTTCCCCCAAATGCTCTGTGCGGCCGAGAGTGGGGACAATCCATTCTCCCTCTCGAAATGCTCTCACATGGCCACGCGTATATAACATCTACCACGGAAGTCCTACTCATTGCCTTCTCGTGCGAGGGTGTTGTTTACGAAATTGAGAGGAAGAAAACGAATGTCCGGCGCTTTAACCTGATTGATAGGTACAGCAGGATCCATCTAGGTTAGTTGAAATAACCTGATTCCAAACCAATGGTGCACATGGGCTCCATTATCCTGAAGGAACAAATGGAGTATGAACCAATCGTTGGTCATCGGCTACCATGGGACTGCATCTCCTTACGATGCTCCACTGTCTTGTGTATCAGACCTTCAGGTCGAAGGCTCGGGGTGTGGCCCCCGATGAAACCATCTGCCTCGGTTTGGGCACCCGGGCAGTATCGAAACCCCCACACATATCAAATGAGATTTGTGTGTCGCCTATGTATTTTGTGCCTCCTTGTACCAATATCTATGTGTTAAAATAAAATAAAATAAAAATTTACATTTGCTTGAATTCTAATTAAAAAGGGATATTTACACTTAAGAAGTGCAGAAAAGTGATACATTTGTACATTTTATTTCATAATGTCACCGACCGAAAGTTAAATCCACAAATGCCCTGGAACGGTCAAGAGTGGGGAGAGTCAGCTTTCCCTCTCCAAATGCTCTCATAGTTAGTCAACAGCAACATAGATCTATGTACGTACTCACATCAGCTCAAGTTGCCATACCACATTAGCACAGAGATACAACTGTCGATTCAAATCCCATAGTGGTAGAGGTAGTAAGATTATGAGTAGTGATCGGAAAGATTAGGGTTTGAAGATGTTATTCAAGGAGTATAATACAGTGAAATAAATTTGGAAAGAGAAAAATAAGGAACATAAGGAATTCAGATTAAAATAGGGGAGAACGCAAAGATTGTATGCACCTTTGCCATTCGCAAACGATTTTGAACCATGTCATTCAAGGTCTCTAACCATCGGTTACTATCGTCTTGCGGATCCCAATCAGGTAGTCTACACCTACCAACATGGCTCAGTCCACTTGCCAGTGACTTCATGGAGTTTTGCCTTGTTTTGGTCTGGCCGCCCCTAGCTTTCTTCCAACCTATTCCCACACTATGAAACATCGCACGTCGAGGCAGTCGGTGGTTGGGCACACGTAACACATGTCCCAGCCATCTCAAGCATCACAAGCATTAAAACAATATCGAGACAACACGCACAGGATGCACATATGCCAAGAAGAGACTGATCAGTTGCAGTTCTAACGTCAATGGGAAGGTTCAAGTAAATAATACTACGTGAATTTAAACTTCACCCCATTTCACAAGCACGTGGCTATCAGGACTCATTAGCTAAGTGGATAATGTAATGGCGTTTGAAGCCAACGGTATTAGGTTTGAGTCCCAGAATGAACATCAACTCTGAGATGCAGATACATCTAGCTGACGAGTTCCACATAGGATGAAACGCGCATCCCGAATTCCATTATCCATCTTTGCTTATAATACACTGTAATTCCTGACAATTAATTGCTTTTATCACTTATATACCAATGGTGTTGAATGTTTATAAAATGGAGTTTTAAAAAGGTAAAAACCTTCAAGTTTTGATTACTGCTGAGGAGTCCGACAATAGGACCAAACGGCCGACTAGTGTTTGCACGTTTTCAATGGTGGTCTAACATCAATCAATTCATGATCTCAATCAAAAAACTTAATAATCTCCACAACCCTATATTAATAATTATTCCTTTTTTTTCATACATCGTTTTCTAAAGCAACTCCTGGACGTTTAGTTGATCATTTAAAACAATCAGTAAATTTTGCTACACAACAATTATCAAATATTCGTCATTTAGTATTAGATGAAGCTGACAGAATGTTAAATATGGCTTTCGCTGATGATATTGACAAAATATTAAATTTATATGAAAAACCAAAATCAAAAGGAAAGAAACGTAAACGAAAGACAAAACCACTGTTAGTTCAATTAGCCGATAATAATAATAATAATACTAATGATATGACTAACAATGGTAAGTATGAATAATGTCTGTTTAGATGTATCTTTTCGTTTAATGGATTAGATTTTGGGTTTCTGTGAGTATTAATGTTTGGCTTTTTTTCGCTAATATTATGGTCTGCACTCTGTACATAAATCTTCTTCTATCCAACTAGCTCGAGAGAAATGAGAAGTCGTGGATGCGCACTGCTGAGGAGTTCCACAATAGGACAAAACGGCTGTCCAGTGCTTCCAGGTTTTCCATGGTGGTCTAGCTTTAATTGACTCATGATCTCAACTATTGAAAAGTATAACACCTTCAAGGCTGAATGAAACTGTTAAGTTTCCTAATTGAATACTAGATTCGGTTTCCTAAACTCTTCTAGTAACACCTCTGCTAAATCTACACATCGACTTGAACATAAGTGAAAAGGCGCGAAACATGGAGGAAAATCTTTTACTGCAAAGATTCTTTTATGTACAAAAAATCTAAAATATTTATAGTATTTTAGATGACTTTGGGCTTCTGGAAATTCCTGGAACGCTACTGAACATAGCAGCAGTATAGGTAATCATCCGATCAGAAACTCGACTTGTGACTTGTCACTTTCTAGATGTTTCTGACAAAACTTCTATTGAGTGCTGATTGGATAAGATGTTTCTCAGAGTCTTTTGAGCCTTTTCTGGCTTTTTTTTCGAGGAATTTTCTGGATCTCCCCAACAGAAACTACCCGTGATTCATATGTGTTTTCACACAGTATCCAAAATGATCTTGGCAATAATATATAAATAGTGATCGTGGGTTTACAGCTTATTAACACTTTACATATTATCGGTTGGCCGTGAACTTTATATGAATTGCCAGCGATACGTATAACAAAACTGAATCTCTTGGTTTTTCTTATCCGAAAGTATATAAAGCGTACATTCGTTCATAAAGAACCTTAGTGTGTGTGTGCAGGAGAACAACATATTTGTGCGTTACATGCTAATTTGAGCTCCTTCGATCTACGCCTACCTATAAGCCTTTACGATATTGGGGATAAAATTGGTTCCAGTATATTGAAGTCCCGTTTTGACATTTATTAAGAACGAATAGAGCAAAGAGGTTTCTTTCCAATTGATTTCTCGTCATGGCTCTACACTGATATATCTATGTATGATGTATAACAATGAAATACTCATCGAGTAGTTGCGTTACGTAATTGTATGATGTCACAGTGATGATAAAATAATATTGAGTAATTGGAAGGAAGCGGATCATGATAATCAAAGTAATTATTCGGAAAATCAATCAGTTGCTACATTGCATAATACATAAAGAGAAAAAAACAACAATAAAGGTCAGTATTATAGTAGTTATGCTCAGGGATCAAGGGATGAATTTTTAGAACTTAAAATACATCGTGGAAGAAACTAGAAAATAGTTGAATTATTGAGTCGGTTTAAGCTAAACCACCATTAAAAACCTGGAAGCATTGGACAGCCGTTTCGTCCCAAATATGGGACGCCTCGGCAACGCGCATCCACGATCTCACATGCGGGACTCGGACTCAGGACCTTTGATCTCGCGTGCGAACGTTTAACTTCTAGACTATTGAGTCGCCATCAAACGGTGTTAATGTCCAACTCCGATCGACGCATGATCTTGTGTAACCCTTAATCCATTGTCTGGGATGGATAATTGTATGTACTCGAAACGGATTGAACCCTACTAGTCACGGCTTCTCACTAGATGCTCACTGCTGAGGAGTCTTGTATTAGGACGAAATGGTCGTCCAGTACTTTCAGGTTTTCAATGGTGATCTATCTTAGATCTACTCGTGAATTCAACTATTAAGATTTCTACAATCTTTACAACCCCCTATTCCGATAGCCAGAAAATAGTTTAAATATTACTGAAGGAAAGGGTTTCATCAAAGTTCAGCTCTCAACTCACTTTTATACCGATGGCCAATGTAGCGGGAGTGATGGTACATACGACTTTTGAATGTAAATGTTTGGTTTGTGAACATGGATTTCAATGGCTTTAGCAATGTGCAACAGATGAACTCGTAAACTATATAGTAAATTTGATAGAATATGGTGGATAACCTTAAAGGCTTTTTTCAAGCCAACTTGATTGATTAATTTTGCGTTATGATTAATGTTCTTCATGAATATCCGCCTTTTTTCTATTCAGTCAGTTTTCAGGAAAAGTGACAATGTGTAATTCTATATATTCTCTGCTTCCAGACCTTGTGTTCATGACTAACATCATATACTACTTATGTCACCCTACCGTTGTCGCTACCTTGTCGTGGTGTTCGGGCTTGCCTATCGAGATGAAGCAACCGAGCTATACTGGCTGGAACAACCGTTCCTCAAGGTCCTACCATGTCAGACAGGTCGGTTGAAGAGCGGTAACACTAAAAGCAACAAACCTAAGGTCCGAAGGCGAAGTCGTACTGCTGATTGTACAGAGGTGTGACAGCAGTAAGGTGTTTCCTTCAGACAACCAGCATGACAGCGATGCTGCCCTCCCACAAGGAGGGGTGGGGTTAGAAAAGGTCGATCATAAAAATGCACACATTGTTTTATCCCACGGATATCCGTCTCTGGCGGTAAGGTCTGAACAAGTACGGAGCTAACACAAAAATTACTCACTCAAAGGTCATGTGTGACCGACCTTGAGCAGCTGTCCCTTGGGCACTGCGGTCACGATCTCAGGTCACTAAGACCACCTCTAACCCAATTTTCTTTTCCAGGTTCCTCCAGAAGAACCCTTACACGGTGTGGGCAACCGGGAACTGATAACCACCCTCATACCTCTAAAAGCACTCAAGACCATTGGCTGACTACTTATGTCAATATAAGTAGCACACACCACAGCTGTATACGCGTGGCCACTTGAGAGCATTTTGAGAAGGAGAACGAACTCTCTCCACCCTCGGCTATACCACGGCATGTTTGGACTCCATTGGTAATAGTGAAACAAATATTCAGTTGCTACCTCATTTCCAGTGGTTTTCTAAGTTTGTGATATAACCTTTATTAATTTGTTACCATCGAATAAATAACCACATATTTTTCTGTGTACATATTTCTTAACTCTAATATGTATGTAACACTTTTAGACATTCAGTCAAATAACAAACAGATTCAGTCAATTTCAACCAAATATCCTCATCCACAAATTTATTTATATTCGGCTACAATGACAAAAGATGTTATCAAACTACGTCGTGCTGCATTATCATCAAATGCTGTATTTATCAATGAGAATGATAATACCCTTAATAATAATAATAATAATAATCTAATGATGGATAATCAGAGTACAACAGAATATAATCTTATACAACACTCTAATTCATCATTGAAATTAAATAAAAATTTAAAAACTGGTTTCCCTATTGGTTTATCTCATTATTGTCTTCCTATACGATTGGCTGATCGTCCTACAATATTAAATTGGATTGTAGAAAATGTGATACAAACAAATGTATTAGAGAAATTTGGCATTACTAGTAAGTAACATATTCATATATATGTGTATGTTAATCAGTTCTTTTCTTTCTGAAAAGAAATAGATCCAATGAGTTGTATCTTTCAATGATCATATCGTTTGATCTTTTGTCCCTGGTATGACCGAGAGTGGAGTGGGCCCTCCCTCCCTTTCGAAATACTTTCACACGGCCACGCGTATACAGCCTGTGCCAGGGAAGTTGTACTCACTGTCTTCTCGTGGCGAGGGTGTTGTTTACGAAATTGAGAAGACGAAAAGCGAATGTCCGGCGCTTTAACTGGATTCCAAACCAATAGTGCACATGGGCTCCAGTATCCTGAAGGAACAAATGGCGTATGAACCAATCGTTGGTCACCGGCTACCATGAGACTGTACTCCTCACGATGCTCCACTGCTTTGTTGGTTAGACGTTTATGTCAAAGGCTCGGGATGTGGCCTCCTAAGAAAACCACCTGCTTCGGTTTGGGGACCCGGGCAGTATCACAGCCCACCCACAAATATAATGAGAATGATGATATTTACTGAAAACCTTATTGTCGCTTCGATTTACAGTCAAACATTTTTTAGTGTGGCGCATATATATTTGGTGCCCTCTTGTACCAATATTTATGTGTTCAAATAAATTAATTAATTGATCTTTTGAATCATTAGATTATCTTATTCGAATCAATGAATGTATACTATTTTGTTGATGAGTTTTAGAGAAGCTTAAAATTATTAATTAGCAATTTTTGTAGGTGACACTGTAATGAATGTACACTCAGGTAGGGAAGACTGATTTTATTATTGGATGAGTGCTGTTAGAGATACTCATTCATGGTATTAGGGAATGATGGTAAATCAGTTGATGAAGTTGTGGATCTTCATTGACTGAGATGGTTTGGCCACGTGTTACATATGCCTGAACTCTGATTATCATGACGCGCAATGCTAACCGGTGTCGGGAATGTCTGGAAGAAAGTTAAAGGCTGCCAAACCAAAACGTGGCATCAGTTCGTAAAGTCACTAACTTCTAGTCTGAGCCATGTCGGTAGATGCAGACTACTTGATAGTAGTCCGAGTGACTATCGTAACCAATGGTTGGAGACTGTGTGTGACATGGCTCAGAATCGATCACAATGGCGTCGGTGTATACACTCTCTATCTTCCCTTAAACTAAGATACTAAAATTGCTTCATATCTTTCTACGAACTAGTTCTTTCTTCCTGTACTATGTCGTTATATGCAATCTTTCTTTTATATATTACCACCACTGAATTAACTACTCCCATGAATCCGGTGTTCATCTTGTTGTGTTAATGAAGTATGGCAACTTGGACCGATGCATATATGTGCCTGGTCCTACGTTGTAGCTGAATGACTGACTGATTGTTGAATGAAAAATCACACGGTACCTTAGTAAAATGGGAAAATCATACATCAGATACATCATTTTCACATCTTCGAATTGTCTCTTACAAGCTTCATTGTTCCTTCATTTCTGTTGTTATCTGGATTGCTTTCAGTTTCATTGTCTCTTTTTTTTCATTTTCAATCTTTTTAATCTTCTGCTCTCAGATATTCCACTTACTATTGGTGCTATTTACTACTTATATCTGTATACATAAATAGCATACACCACAATACAAATAAATAATTTAGTGCACAAAACCCTTCAAAATTATTAAAAGTTTGGGATAAAGGGGATAAATGCTTTGTGGTCATACGGATAATTACCTATGCACTCAAGCAACTAGCTCTTGATGGAAATATAAGTGAACTCAACGGAGAGAAACGGACAACCTCATGAGTGAATAACTTCAATATTGATTTCCAAGGTTGTTCTCAACCATCCTATCTATGAGAAACAGTTATAATTAGTGGAGGAAGACTGTGGTTGAATGTGTCACATATTGCAAACTGACTAAACCATTAAATCCCACCATAAAAACTAATAAATATCATCACAATTGATTGATCACTGGGTGGTGACCAATGCCATGTGTGTCAAGTCCTTATTAGTGCAGATCGAATGCTATCGACCATGATGCAATGTGGCCACCAGTCTAGGTGGCTCGACACTGCGTACACTATTGTGAGATTAGATGATGGTTGGAGATAGTCGACAGGAAACCCTGGACCCGGGTTTTGTGCTACTTGGCACTCGTCAGCAAGGTGTACCTGTAATCTTGAGGAAACTGGTGCTCCCTGACCGATCTGTCCGTCAAATTGTTATAACTTGTGCCATGAGTCCTATTCATGTATAATGTGATAATACCGCCAATTAGAGAGCAGTGAATTATCGATCGGACCAGTGTTGCATAAAACCCGTACAAACAGCCTAGAGTCCTTTTCGGTCCTACTTCCTGCCTAACCCTGTCTGCCTGTTGAATCCAGAACACCAATCTCAGTCTCTGTAATATGAATCATGTATTTCAAACATACAGGGTTTATATACCAATCAGACAGACCACACCGTACCATATGATAGAAAATAACATTTGTACAAGATCTAGCCAAATGTAACTGTGAATGTGGGAGATAGTAATTGATAAACTGGGGATAACTCAAGAATGGTAAATCGTATAATAATAATCTATGGGTCAAATGGAAACTTATAATAAGAGGAACATGAATATGAATAGTTTAGTTATCTAACAATTATACGTATAATATTGGTCCATAAACGGATCCTTACAGTTACCATTCATTATTCTCATCAAGATATAACACAATTATTATCCTTTAAACTATTACTAATTGTTTATTTGATTTTTATAGGTTCTACACCAAGTCGTAAACATCATATCATGATATTTTGTAAAAGATGTCATGAAACTATAATGGTTTCAGAATTTCTTCGTGAATCTGGTCATTCCAGTGTGGCATTAACAGGACGTATGAAACAAATTGAACGTAAAGAATCATTACATAAATTCATTTCAAATGAAGTAGAAGTTTTAGTTGCAACTGATGTTGCTAGTCGGTATGTTGATTACAAAAAAATATAACAGATTATAGCTAATGTTAACTCGAATTCCTAATCCTTAGTTTTAACTCTCAATCTTAATCCTAATTTCAATGGTTAAGATCATGAGTCAGTTGAAGCTAGACCACCATGGAAAACCTGGAAGCACTGGACGGCCGTTTCGTCCTATTGTGGGACTCCTCAGCAGTGCGCATCCACGACCTCGCCCCCTGAGGTGGTCTAGCTTCAACTGACTCATGATCTTAACCATTGAAATTACTACAATCTCCACAAAAACCCATCTGATTTTAATCCTAATTCCTTACACTACTCTATAACCCTCATCCAATCCTAGTAGGTAGATGGGACTTTTGAAGATCACTTCAGTGTCGTTCAGTGGTCGTCCATAAATTATAGGCTCGCCGAAGTGCTTTTCTATTAATTAATCGTCTTTTTTATAAGTGGATGTACAGTAATTACTATCTTTAGTGTAAAGTAGCCTGTCTTAAAGGGGAATACGTTTTTAAAGGGTATGTAATTTATTTTAAAACCCTCTTACCTCCCACCATTCGCTTGTACCTTTCTTCTATCAATCAAAGGCGTAGTTTCAGCTGGGCAATGAAATGCTCATTATCGGATATACTAAGGAAGTGAGAGTGAAATAATCACACAAGTACTTTTTTGAAAAAAATAAAAGTTGAACATTTATGAATTCTATTCTCCACCGCCCCACTATGTGCAGAACTTATCAACAGATTATGTAATGCAAAGACATTAGTCAGTATTCTGTATCACCTTGTGTGTTATGCTTGAACTAATCATGCTTGCGCTCCTAACCCAATGATTTGATTGTGCTTATTAGTCCATGCAAAGCCCCTCTTCCTTGCTCCCAGGTTCCAACCTGACCAAGAGAAAAATACCTTTGTGACTTCTGTATGTTAACTTGAAAATCCCGCATGATTGAACACTTGTCCTGTACATCCCTGACCGAATATCACTTGCCCAGTCAGGATCCTACCCCTACTTTGTAGCTCATTGTCCCTAAACTGTTTAGCTACGCGCCTGATCAGCACTATTGACCTTGAACTGATAGCCAAGTTCCTGTTGGTCTACTATTCTAAAGCTTCCCTCTATGTCTTGCTCTTGAGTTCTAAAGTCACCAACCAGCCTGTATTACATTTCTATTTCAAACAGAAGTGGTTTATATACAGACATACTCGATCCACATAACACCACAGAGTAAAAAATAACAATACATGAACAGGCCGAAAATGGATGTGAATATAGGAGACTGTAGATAATTGACTGACAACAATTTGAGTAATAAGTTGTACAACAACCGAAAGCTTATGATAAATGGAATATATACACACAGTAATCGACTTAATCAATGGTTATACAATAAAGTTATAATTTTAACAGTTGAATCCATGAATCGATCTAGGCTAGACCACCACTGGACGGCTTTTTCGTCCTAGTATGGAACTCTTCATCAATGCGCATCCATAACTCCTCACTCACAAATCGAACCTTGGACCTTTAATCTTGCGCGCTTAAACTGTTCAGTACTTCTTAGTCTTCAATAGTTATCTAACCAAAGTCATTCCTTAATGTGAAATTAACATGTTGTTTATCTTCAATTAGTAATGAATTATTTCTTTTTTACTCTTCAGGGGACTGGATATTCCTCATGTTGAATTTGTTATCAATTATAATGTACCTTTATCGGAAAAGACCTATCGACATCGTGTTGGTAGAACTGCACGAGCTGGACAAACTGGTGTGGCGTTAACCCTAGTAACACGTGATGTAGCTCAAAGTTTTTTAGAATTAGAAGCTGCTTTACTACCTTATCTTCCATTATCAAATACCAATAATAATAATTCACCGGGAATACCTCGTTGGCCAATTCCACTACCGGATTTACATGGTCGGAATGGACTGATAACTCGTCGTCGTCTAGCAGATCAAGCTTGGTCGAGAGCTTCAAAGGTAATTTCGTTTTGATTTTTTTTGAATTTGCTTGGACGTTAAATTGTTCTCCATGAGTTAGTACCTGATAGGTTGTGTTTTCCATACGTTCTGTTATTTCTCTATTACTGATGATTGTGTCGTAGAAAAGGAACACTATTTGTACATCAATATGATTCATTGATTTGGATCACTGTGAAAATGACCCGATGATGATTGTTGGTAAAAGGCTCGACTAGCTTTTACCAACTTGCGTCATTTATGGCGTAGGGGAGATATCCGTCTATCAACCAAAGGACGTGTTTACTGCGCAGCAGTTCGTTCCGTCCTACTTTATGGTAGTGAAACATGGCCGGTAAGAGTAGATGATATTCGTGTAGGTGTAGGTTTAGACTACCTGATTGGGGACCGCGAGTTGATATCAACCGATGGTTAGAGACCCTGAATGACATGGCTTAAAATCGTTTGCAATGGCTCAGGTGCATCCAATCTTTGTGTTCTCCCAAATCCTAATCTTCTGAATTCTTCATGTCCTTTTCTTTTTCTCTTTCCAAATTTATTTCACTGGATTATACTCCTTAAATAATATCTTCAAACCCTAATGTTTCCGATTACTGCTTATACTTTTACTACCTCTAGTACTATGGGATTTGAATCGACAATTGTATCTCTGTGCTAATGTGGTATGGCAACTCGAACTGATGTGTGTACGTACGAAGTTCAACGTTGTTGCTCACCGACTGAATGAGCAATTAAATAAGCTTATACGTAGATCTGTATTTGGTAAATATGAGTCATAGAAGCTGTCGAACTAATAGTTATTGTACCAGTCAATATTCATTTGGTATAATCAGCTTGCAAGTGAATTTCTTTTTCACTCGCTATTGTTAAATCTTTCCACTTCAGACTATTCGATCCCAGCTTGAAAGTCATCGTAATGTAGACAATAACGTAATTGATTTCGATCCAATAATGAATGAAGAATTAATTGAGGCTTATGCTAATTCTGATGAAGATGAGGATAGTAATATCTCTAGTTCATCATTGTCAAATGATGAGTTAAATATCAATGAAATATCAACAATATCAAATAAACACTATCCTATTATCCCATTAGATACATCCGGTCAAGCTGGTATTAATGCTGCACGTAAAACATGGAAATCTTTAGCTAAAATACATCAACTTCAACAAAAAGCAAAAGCAGAATCAGCAGAACAACAACGTTTAATTAAATCTATTGGTTGGGGTGTTACTTTAACACAAAACGCACTGAATCATAATAATAATGGATCCGATGATAATGACATAATGGATCGTTTCAATAATGAAGATATCAATGATGATGATGGTGATGAACAAGAGATAACTCATTTTGACCAACCAATTAAAACAAAATATGCTAAAATTCAATCGTTGAAAAAAGTGAATAAATTGAATTCCAATAAAATCAAATGATGATAAGGTAACAATTTTCATTTGATTTCTTCAACACTTATGCCTGTATATACATTTGCCAGTATTGTTCTCTTGTTTCAATAAACTGATTATTCTGTATAAATAAGTCATTATGTTTCTGTTTAGCTTTGATTTTATATAGGTGTATTGTGTATTTGGTTAATAGTGGAGTTTTTAGAATATGTGTTTCGTCCCGTTTTGGAGGATTCGTCAGTTCTCAGTTCTTATTTGAATAAATAGTTATTGGTATAAAGGGGCACCGAATACATACGCGCCATACAAGTCACTTGGTTTGTGTGTTGTAGGCTGTGATACTGCTTGTGTGCCCAAACCGAAACAGATGGCTTTCTTAGAGGGCTGCGCCCTGAGCCTTCGATCTAATGGTATAATCCAAAAGGCAGTGGAGCAACGTCAGGAGATGTAGTCCCAGGATAACTGATGACCAACACTCTATTTATTCCATCAGGATCTTGGAGCCTATGGCACCATTGATTTGTAATTAGGATTTTCCAACTCTTCTAGGTGGATCCTTGATATCCAAAGCGCCGAACATTCGCTTTTCATCCTCTCAATTTCGTAAGCACCATCTAGGCAGTGAGTAGAACTTTCCTGTCAGTGGCAGTGTACGCGAGGTTATGTGAGAGAATTTCTAGAGTGAGAGCTGATATTCCCCTCGGCCATATTCGATAATTTTGATGTTTGATCATATTTCCTTAAAAAATCTTGGACCAAATTTCCAGGCAAAACGTTGAATTTACTTCTAATTCATCCGCTGAGATTTTACAAATACATTCTTCCTCTTTAATATCTTATATCAGCTCGGTGCCCAAAAAAAACTAGTCGATCAAATTTAGACGAAGGTTATTATTTATATTCAGCTAGATATATCTGTACCAGAGTTAACGTGCACTTCAGGACTTAAAGTTGATGCCCATCTCCTCAGTCTTAATAGAGTTATCCACATTGCTACTAAATCCAGATGGTCTTTGGCTTGTGTATTTGGATCGTGAAAATTACTAAATTCAACTCGAGCTACTCACTAATATAAAGTAGTACAGCATGGAGTAAAGAAATATTAGGAATAATAAACAAATCAATATGCTTTCTTACATAATAACCAAATCTTTATTGTAATACCAAAAGTGATGAATCCATTGTTGAAACATTTTCATATAGGTAGGAATCATGAGGTAGCTAGGTATGCAACAAAACATCAACTCGTTATGCAGGCACATGCGGCTGACGTGTCTCAAATAGGATGAAACGCGCTCCCTGGATTTCATTGCTAGCCACCGTCATCTCAGCTTATAATGTTATTTCCTAATATTTCAATTCAATCATTATGTTTCCATTCGATATTTGTCCACTTTAAAGCATATTTTCAATAATCTGACTGATGACATGAATTCTGATGGTGAGATTTTAATGATCCAACCTTTACCTTAAGGTACTTTAGCTTACCAAACCATAATTGATAAGACTATGCAAAGTGATTAATCATAAAAGCTCCTCACTAATCATTGTCATTTCGTGGTTTCACATACGTAACTGTTTACTTGGACAAGGCACAAATGAAGTGCATACCAGTCACTTTAACTTATTTGTAAATACTTCGATGTAATCTCTATGTTCACTGATCATATACCTTAACCGTAGAATAAGAGAATTTTCGGAGGTAGGCAATATACTACACTCTCAATAGATATATTCATATAAATCCTGTTTTAAGATGCCTGGTAAAGGTTCACATTTCCATTATAAATTTAAAAACATTTCTCCCTTAATTAAAAGGAGCTATTTTGAATATTAAATATATAACGTAGGTAATTGTACGATCATATTTTGATTTAGAGTTGTCATTATTTTTGTTGTTGTTGTCTTTCAATGGACTTACGTCGTAGTAATTAACTTCATGTAACGTTTTGTTTCAGTCAGTTAGTCAGCTACAACGTAGGACTAGGCACATATATGCATCGGTCCAAGTTGCCATACCTCATTAATACAACAAGATGAACACCGGATTCATGTGAGTCGTTAATTCAATGGTGGTAATATATGAAAGAGAGATTGCATATAACGACATAGTACAGGAAGAAAGAACTAGTTCGTAGAAAGATATGAAGCGATTTTAGTATCTTAGTTTAAGGGAAGATAGAGAGTGTATACACCGACGCCATTGTGATTGATTCCGAATCATGTCACCAAGAGTCTCCAACCGTTGATTACAATAGTTACACGGACCCCAACCAAGTAGTCTGCATCTACCGACATGGCTCAGACTAGAAGTTAGTGACTTCATTGACTGATGCCACGTTTCAGTTGGCCATCCCTAATTTTTTTCCAACCATCTCCAACACAGGTTAGCATTACACGTGGTGGTAATCTGTTAGCTTAAGGGAAGAGCGTAGTCACGCGGACCCCAACGTTTTGTTTATTTGATTTTCGTTCTGCTTAATATTTTATTGCTTTGGTTCTGAGATAATGATGAGAATATTGATTCTATGCGACAAATTCTTTTACGAATACTCATCATATGTCTCTTGGTATATCCATGGTAGAAAAGAAGGGATCTATGCGATCCTAGTGCAGTGTATGTTACTTATACTAACAGATATAAGTAGCATGTAGCACAATCGGAATCGGAATGCCTTTCAGTAGGTGATTGAAATAAAGAGAACAAAAAGGAAGTTGGAAAGTAATCGAAATAACAATAGAATGAGAAGAATAGTGGTGTATGTAAAAGACAACGCATAGAAGCTGTGCAAAGAATGTATTAAAAGTATAATTTTAATATTTTACTAAATCACTGTATGATCTCACATCAAACAATAAATTGACATTCTTCATCTAAGTTGTCGATCACTACACTAGTATTGAAGTGTGGTTAACAGTTATAGCCATTATCACAGAAGTATCACAGAAACCAATTAGTTGTAAACCTATTAATTTAGTTCAGTGGTCAGGACTCTAATGAACTTATTGTCTTAAGCTATCTTGCAATATAGACTGACTGCAATGGGAGAGTCTATTGCAGCCGATGACAGTTGGATAGAAATTTTGTCCTACATTTAGACGTTGCAACCTTGATTGAGATTAAATCCGGAATCGTCCGTTCATCTGAATAGAAAAATACTTTATAATTAATGAGTTAAAATCTAGTGATCCATATTTTTGAATTCATTCGGATCACAAAGTAATACGATTGTCAGTCAGTTTGGTCACTGATGTCTCTCTCAATCTTACCGTTTGTCAACTCCTATCTACTTCCAACTGACATACTGGGGCCCTACAAGATGTCAGTGATGGTCCCGAACAGTTCAGTTGTAATGTCTTACATTGTGAATTTAAATGATCCAGGATTAAATAACAAACAAAGTTCAGTCTTCTTAAGATTTTGTGTGTACCTCACTAGTGAGTCAGAACTAGCGGAAAAATTAGGTCTAGAAGTCTAATTGAACTGTCATCAACCACCTGATATATTAATTTGTATAAAGAAGAAACAATAAAATTTAAATCAAAAGATACTGAATTCATCAATCTGTTTGAATGCATTTATTTACGATAGCTTCTATAGAATTTAATAGTTGAGTTCATGAGTCATTTAAAGCCAGAACACCACCCGGAAGCACTGGACGGCCGTGTCGTCCTATCGTGTGACTCCTAAGCAGTGCGTGTTCACGATCTCGCCTCGCGAGATGCGAACCCAGGATCTATCAGTCTCGCGTGCAATCGCTTAACCTCTAGACCACTGAGCCGGCATCCAGTGGTGTTCATGTCTAACATCAAGCAATCCACGAAATCGAGCGACGCATCCACTATTGTCATTAGTGAGTTGCTATTTCACAACAGACCGATATGTCATGGGATCGAATCCATCAGGGAGCATCAGTTCCCTTAATAATAATACAGGTACACTTTGCTGACGAGTGTCAAATAGCACGAAACCCGGGTTGAGGGTTTCCTGTTGACTACCGCCAACCTCCATCTTTTCTTAACACGATTCACGCAATATCCAATCACTTAGACTAATGACCACATTGTAACTCGATCGATAGCATTCGATCTGTACTAAGAAGGACCTTAAATACATGACACTGATCACCAGCTAGTGATCAATTTACTTGTAAATACATCTCAGTCCTATAAGAGATCAGTAGTAACCTGGATAGATCTGTGGTAACATCTCTGACTGTGAAACTGAGTGACACGTGGTCGGATCGGTTATGGAGTATCAGTTCGTTCAAGAATAATGCAGGTACTCCTTGCCGACGAGTACCAATTTGTACGTAAGTTAATTCCACGGTTTTTTGTTGATTATTTCCAAACATCATCTTATATCTGATGTTAATGAATTGTTTACAGGTCTTGTTTTGTTGTCGTTCTTCTTCATTTCTTTGTTTACTTACTTATTTATCTTTCTTTTTATTTTGAAAAACAAATAAACAAACTCGAAAACAAGAAATAATAATGAATAATCTAATTAAGTTGAATTATCAATTTCACATGAGTTATCTCCTCTATTGAGTATGTTAACATTGATACCTCAAATAAATGAAGTGAGTAGTTGTTGTATGGACTAACAAGGAGAGGGGAATACAAAAATTATTTCTAGTGAGATAAACAAATACATATATACCGTATACACAGAATTAAACAAGGAATTGAGAAAGAGTATTAGAGCTGGAAAGTAAAAATATGTGGAAGATCTATCAGTGATAGCGGAAAAAGCTGTATGAGAAGGAAATATGTATCAACTATATGATACAACGAAGAAACTAGCAGGGAAATATTGTAAACTTGAACGATAAGTTTAGAACAAAGAAAGCTAACCAATCCGTGAGATCCAAGAATCGTAGAACAAGTAGGTAGACCACTCTGAAGAGTTCTTGAATACACCACCTCCATTGTATCCACTGAACATCGAATCAGCATACATAGACCTTCCTATAGATGTTACTCCACCAACGATCAAAGAAATTAGGACGGTCATTAGACAAATCAAGAATAAGACTCATATTCAATCCTTAATTCTTCCACAGTCTTAACAATCCTTTGAATTCTACAAATTGTAAGTGCTAAGCATTAGTTTCTTCTTCTTGTTAATTAAGTCGACAGTTATCTCTAACCTTTATTTTATCGTTTATTAGCTGTTATTACTTCCAAAACTCTTATATAACGTAAGCTCTTGACGATGTTTTCCTTATGTTACTGAATGATGTAACCTATTTCATCCATTACATGAAAACTTTCATTACATTGAAATAACACCATACCGTTGATAAAATATTACTTAAAATACTTGAAGATTTTTGATAATCTTGATTATATTATACAACCACCACTTCTTTGTCATTGACTTACACTTTAGTAGGT